AAAATGCTACTACGATAAAATAAACATACGGATTTCCTCTCACATGTTTGATGGACTAAAATAAATAATTGAATTTAAGTGTTTAAGCAGAGCATGTTTTAAATTAACATGAATATATTCTTTTTAAAAAAAATTGCCAGAAAACATGTGTTTCTTTTTGTTCATTTGTTTTTTTTAAGAGAGGGCAAGTGTACTCCCCAGAGAGGCAGAAAGTGATAAATCACCCCCTAGGGGGTATGGCCACACCACAATCCCTTCTCCTTCATTCTGCTCTCAGTATTTTGAGCACGTACCCACACATGCTCGGTGTGAGTTTCAAGCTGCTGGGTCTGGCCATGTGAGAGACCAGTGACATAACCATTACACAATCTGCTTGTCACCAAGGGCATGTGTGCTTTACAAAGAGAGGCAGAAACACAAGGAAGCAAGAAAGCAAACCCCATAGGGAATGATCATGCCACAATCCCTTCTATATCTCTCCCTCCTTTTAGGATTTTGGCATGCACACACATGCATCCTGTGTGTTTCTCATGCTGCCAGGTCTGGAATTTGAACCATGCATTCAGCTGTACGGGATCCAGTTGCCTTAACCACCATGCCACAGAATAGCCCAACACTGATATACACCTAAATGTTACATTAATCTGAAAATAATCCAAATACTCATTACCAGGAGACTGGATAAATTATGACATATCCATACAGTGCAATACTCAAGATCAGTGAAAATGAATAAACCATTGCTACATGCAATAACACAGTTGAACAATATCATAATGAATTACAAAAGCAAATCACAAAATAAAGAAAAGCAGTATGATTTCACTTACAAAAAGTTAAACAGCATACAACATTAAATAATTTATCTTTTGAGATGCACATTCTATAGAAAACTGTAAAGATAAAACAGGATATAAAGATGATTTATAAGAGGGTGGCTACCTCTAAAAAGGAAAAGAAGTGATCGTGATTAGAAAGGTGTGCACAGTGATCCAATTGGTAGTGTGGTAGTTATGACCCTGGACTTCCACATGGCAGACCACAGTTCAAGTCCTGGACCTGGTGGCTTGAAAATCATGCTGGGTGTGTGTGCATGAATATCCAAAATCTCAGGGTGAAGAGAAGGGATTGCATCATGACCATCCCCTTTTGGGGGTGATATCTCACTTTTCCTCTGTCTCTCTGTGTCTCTGGTGAGCACATTTACCCTATGTCAAAAAAACTTAAAAAAAAATAAAAAAGAAACAAAACAAAGAGAAAAAGACCTAGGCATGTGTGTAGGCATGCCCCAGATCCCAAGCCTTCAGGTTCAGGGCTCTAACCATGCGGTTGGCCACGTGAGATTCATGAACAAGAAGATATTGTGGTGTGACCCTCCCGCATTATTTCTCACTCATCCCCAGCACTCGCTTCATCTATCTCCTATGAGCATATGTGCCTTCTAGCAGAGAAACAAAAATGTAGAAACAAGTACACATAACAATTTAAAGGAAATAATAAAATTATTTTACTTACACTGGGCGATACATCGCAAATACATATTTCCTGTACAACTTGTGATTATTTTGAACACTTTTCTTTTTTTTTTTGTATCTGTACTTTACAAATATTAGTTTATAGGTAACCAATATTTTATCTTCTAGGCTTTTGCCAAAGGGCATGTGAGCTTGCTGGAGAGAAACAGACGGAAAGTAAGAAATCACCCTGCGGGGGGTGGGGGGGGTTGGAGCGTGGGGGTTGGCTACACCACAATCTTCTCTTCCATCCTCCTCTCAGGATTTTGGGCATGCAAGCACACATGCCAGGCATGATTTTCAAGTCACTAGGTCTGGGACTTGAACTGTGGTCAGCCATATGGGAGTCTAGCACCTTAACCACTATGCCATTTGATAGCCCAAGGTATTCATAATTTAATAAAAACAATTAAAATTTCAGGCAGATCCCATGGCATACTTAGTGATTAAGGGGACCAGATCACATAGGCCCAACCATGGTTCAAATCCCAGGCCTGGAGGCTTGAAAGACACGCATGGCATATGTGATCATATGCCCAAATCCTGACGGGATGGAGAAATAAAGAGGATTGCCACATAAGACTGCCTAACTGAAAGGTGCTTTCTCTCTTTCTCCAACAGGCAAGGCCCCTATTTCTTTTTTTCTTATTTCTTTTTTTTTCTTTTTTTGGAGAGGTTTTTGCTATAGGGCATGTGCGCTTGCCAGAAAGACAGAGAGACAGAGAGATAGAAAGCAAGAAATCACCCCCCAGAGGGCATGGCCACGCCACAATCCCTTCTCCTCCATTCTCCTCTTGGGATCTTGGGCACGCACACACACGCGCCCGGCGTGAGTTTAAGCCACCAGGTCCAGGACCCGAACTGTGGTCGACTACGTGGGAGTCCAGTGACATACCATTACGCTAACTGCTGGTCCCAAGGCCCCTATTTCTAACAGCAATAGTTAGAAATGAATAGATATGTATTATTAAAATAATTTATTTTACTGTTCCTGAGTTTAAAAATTTTCTAAACCTGGGACCAGCAGATGGTATAATGGTTAGGTTGCTGGACTCCTACATAGCTGACCGTGGTTTGAATCCTGGACCCAGCAGCTTAAACTCATGCTGGACACGTGTGTGTGCATGCCCAAGAATGGAGGAAAAGGAATTGTGATGTGGCTATCCCCCCGGGAGTGATTTCTCATTTTCTCACTTTCTGTCTCTCTGTCTTTCTCTATCTTTCCAATGAGTGCATACACTCCACAGCAAAAATCTCATCTTTCCAATGAGTGCACACAATAAATAGCAAAAATCTATTTTAAAAAAGAAAAACAATTTATATCTAATATTTAGAATTCAGATATCAAAGAAAAACTATAAGGCCAATTTTGGGTATCAAAATTAGTTCAGAACTCATAAAAATAAAAACAACTTCTTAATATTCTAAGTGGTTAGTATAGACTATGTATTCCTTTTTTACTTAAGGAGGACATCAACAACAAACACCCTAACTGAAAAAATATCCTCAGAGTTTAATTTTACTAGAAAACTGACCTATCCTAAGGATTAATCTCTTTAGAAATTTCCCAATATGAAAAATAAAAAAGATATTTCACAATATGCAAAAACATTTTATAAACACCTAAAAAAGGCTTATTGCTACAACTTACATATAACTGTAAGAATTAATATTTAATTAAATCTTGGGAATGATAAGCTTTATCATACTGCTCTAGTCTGTATCTGGATTTACTGAAAGAGTTGTGCTAAAAAAAATTCTGAGGAAGATTTCTTTTTTAAATTTTGCCGTAGGGTACGTGAGCTTGCCAGAAAGGAAGAGAGAGCAAGTAAAAGTGAGGAAGCATCCTTCATGGGGAATAGTCATGCTGTAATCCCTTCTACTCTCTGCATTTTAGGGATGCATACACATATAAGCAGATTTTTTTTTTCTTTTTTTGGCTGCTAGGTCCAGGACTGTAGTTGCCCATGTGGGATCCAGTCACCTTAACTGCCATGCCACCATTAAGACGTAAACTCTGAGAACACAGGTGAGGGGCCAGGGACAGTGGAATATCTGTGGGGCAGAAGGTTAAGAGTTCAGAGTAAGACAAAAGAAAGAACTAGAAGGTAATTGAGCACCTGAGCACCGTCAGCCATTAAGCCATTTTAAGCCATTGGTTTATGTAAGGTGTTTCAAAAGAACAGGTGAGGGGGAGGGGCGTACCCTAACCAGCCCACTGGAAGACTAAAAAAAAAAAAAAAAAATTATCTTACCAAAACAAAAAGTATAGCTAGAAAAAATTCTTCAATGATTAAATACAATAGTTTACCCAATACAGAAACTGATGAAACAGTGAAAACTGCTAAATTTTATAAAGTCTTGCATCTCTTATAAAGTGAGATCAAAAAAGAAAAATTATACAGGTTCACCTAGGAAGGTAGTTTCCTGGTTGAAATTTCCCAAATCTTGTATTCAAAAAGGTTTTTCCAGCATTAAGGGTTTGTAATCAGGTAATAGTCTTAAGTCTACCACAAATTATGATTAACACAAAGAGTTAAACAGTTTTTTGAACAATTTTTGGTTCAAAAGGAAACAATGCTAAAGAGAAGAATCTTACCCAATTATGCCTATTTTCCCCACATAATGAAAACTTAAAGATACAGAAAAACTTTAAGCCAAACCTCTTAAGTTTCTCACTTAAAAAAATATTATGCAAGTCCCTCACCCACCCCCACTCCAGAGTAGTACATTTTATTTCTTCCTCAGAATTCCCCACCATTTTGAATAGAAATATAGGGACGCCAACACCACAGTTCTCTTTCCTTTCCATAAATCCAGAGCTGGAGTCTAAGAAATTACCTCTGGACATTTTAGTAAGTCATAGATGATGCCAACCACTATCTAGTATTTCGATTAAACTCCCTACCCATTATAGTTTAGAGAGATTTTGTAGTAATTTTCATTATCTTACACCATCTAGTATATAAAAAAAGGAATAACCCAGTTAGTACAAATACATATTTCACAGTAACTTTAACTCTTAAGTCTAATCTTACTTTGTAGTCTTTTTCTTGCCTGAAACTTTGAAGGCTGATATTTTAAAAAATCTCATTGGAACATTACAACTCGAAATTACCAACCACACTAAACTCTTAGGCCCTCATGTTAAAGGATAACAATTTTAAGTACATAAAAAGCCCTATACCTTTTTCCTTCATCCGTTAAGATTTAAGCTCTGAGAACACAGGTGAGGGGCCAGGGGCAGTGTGATATCTGTGGGGCAGAAGGTTAAGAGTTCAGAGTAAAACAAAAGAAAGAACTAGAAGGTAGTTGAGGACCATCAACCGTTAAACCGCTGGTTTATGTAAGGTGTATCCAAAGAACCGGCGAGGGGGGAGGGGCGTAACCTAACCACGCCCCCAAGCGATTTAAATCCACGCAAACCGTCGCTCCTTGAGACAGCCATTTTGGCCTTGCCTTGGCTCCGCCCTTTGGGCGTTTATGGCTCCACCCCCATGCGTCGCGAGCAGAAACAGGAAGTAGGGTTGCAAACTGAGGAGCCAGGTGTGCCGAGTGCTGAGGATTACCGCTAGGCTTCAGTCGCCCTGCCATTCATCCTGTGCACCTGCCTCGGGCCGTCGCCTTCTGAGAAAAATCGTGGAATCATGTCGAATATGGAAAGTATCCTTTCTGGCCTGAAAAACTGTTGCTAGGGCCTAGGGAACGGGGAAAGCGCCTGGGCCTCTGGGAAGCATCTGGTGGTGACATTTTTGGTCCAGTTGCTGAGGGGCGCAGGCGGGGACACCAATTAGCAGGCTTAGGCAGCTTGGTTTTTGTTTTTGTTTTTCCCTGGTAGCCGCCGCCATCCTAGAATCAGAAGTGGGATTGCTTTTTGAAGGTTCAGGGGAGTTGCCTGACTGGTTTGAGATTTTTGAGCGTGAATCCTCTCGCCTTGAGAGCTGTTGTCACTTGTCTTTTCTTTGAAATTTTCCTCTTAGAAATAAATAGGGAATGATTTGAAGAAAAAAGACAGCAGGAGTTTTCCAACTGCTTGGGATGGAGGTGTGGGTTTTGAATGCGTTATGAGCACAAAAAGCTTTTGTCGACCTGCATTTCTCCCTTTTTCTAAATAGACATGACTGTTAATGAGGTAAAATGTTTAATGCCAGCCCTCCAAACTAAGGTGAGTGCTTACTTGTTAATAATCTTATTTAACACATTAAAAAACTCATATACAATAGTTCTTTAAAGTTATAGTATTCATAGTTGCACCTGTGTTCCCACTTAAGCCATGAGGTCGAGGTTTAGAACCAAGCTGTGTGAAGCTCTGAATTGGAGAAGTATGAAATTGTTTTTTTACCACTAAATTATCACTGTAATTTCTCCTTCTTCCAGGAGTTGGCATTATAGGAAATAGTCGTTTATTGTCTCACCATTTAATGAAACTTGGCAAAGGATGAAATGTGGGTAATTGTAATTACTTGATAGTTCATGTTAAAGCTCTTTTGGCTTCATTACTCTGTAAAACTAAGCTATAGAAAGACATTTGGTGAGATGATTAAATCATATGTGCCACATTGATACTATTGCTAGCATTACATCACAAGCTGGATTGCCAAGATAAACCAAGAATAAAATGTGAGCCCTTAAGGAGGGGGTCATTTCATAAACAGGAGAAGACTAAAGGCCCACTTATCACTGCAGTTTAAAGTATAATAAAGGAAGTATAGTTGTACTAGCATTATGAAGGGAAGAGCACTGGCCTAAGAGTCACAGTATTAGTTTCTACTCCCAGTTCCTCTTGGGAAACCCTTGAGTTAGGGCATGTCATATAGCTTCTGTCCTGTAAAGTTTACTGATCTGTGAAACATATTAACCTGTTAACCTTGTAAAGGTGCTATGGAGAAAAATGAAATGGACATGCTTACTAAATTATAAAATTTTGAACATGCTGTGAAGTATGAGGAAATAGAGTAGAGATTGTTATCTCTTCCTGGAAATTTTGGAAATATTTGGGATAATAACCCTAAAAGTGTTTCTGGTTTTGTTTTCTACTCTGATAATGCAAGATACATTTTTAGGCTCTACTTGAGTCTATCTTATGTGATTTCCAATAACAAAATAACTGGTTACTAATTTCTTTTACTGATGGATATGCCTGACTATAATCTGAGTAAATAGTATTGTTAATAGCTTAATACATAATAAAAATGAACTATTAATGTCCCTTCAGTCTCTCAATTAACTGAGGAGCTTTAACTTGATTCATATCACCTGGCCGTGAATATGTTTCTTAGTTCATTTACATAGAATTCAGACCTGTTCCTTGGAGAATATAGAAGAGCATGGTATATGGACACATGAACTAAAATTTGAATAATACTTATTTGTCACCTTCATAAAAGCCAAAAATCTCATTGTTAAAGTTTATAAGCAGAGTAGCTGTGCTAACGCACCCCAGTTAGCATGATAATTTGAGAGAAGTCAAAATGTCTTTGGACAGTTAAACACACTGAATTTACCATGGGAGTTATGTCAAATCTCACTTTAAAGAACTTGGTGGAAAGGCCAAATATATTTGTATAACAGTATTTGTGTAGGTGTTCTACAAGTATTTAATTAATAACAGTATGTGTATAATATTTGCAAAGGGTGGGGACCTAGAGCTAGATTAACTAAAGGGGTGAAATAATAGAAAAATAATTAAAGGATACTTCCCTAGTCCGTACTTTTTTTTTTTTAATGTTTTATTTGTTTATCTATTTTTACCTCTCTTCTGGTTAATTCATAATTGATTTTGTTGTTGAACTTAAGCATAATTAATTTACAGAAAGCTTTTCATTGTTCTAATCTCCTAACCTACTATCCCCATCAAACCTAGGAATCTGAGAATACCAGTTCTTACCAGTTTCTACTCCACTCCTTTTTCTCATCTGTTTGGTTCTCTAGTTAAACCCATCCGTACTGTGATAAACTTATGTTTAGTTAACTAACTCTTCCATTAGACTGAATTTCTGGAGGATGGGGTCTTTTTCTGTCTTTGAATCTTCATATTCTTACACAGTACTGGGCCTATAGTAAATACAAAATGACCTTTTATTGAAAATTAATTGTTAACATATATTTGAGCCTGTATTATGGACTAAGCATTGTACCCAGGGTATGAATACATGGAGGCTTACAAAACCCATCCCCAACTTTGAGCACCTTTTGATCTAGGGCACATATGGGTGGAGATAAATAGTAATATAAGGTAGCACATACAAACTGAGACAAGTACTAGAACAGTGATTCTTGATCCCATTGTGGACTTATTATTAAAGTTCTTGAAAATAAACATAAAATTTTATATGTCGGTATAGCATGTGCATTTTTCTGGTGAGACTGCATATTGCTGTCATATATCTCCAAGGAATTCTAACCTAAAATAGGTTAAGAAGCAGTGAAGTAGGAAATAAGTAGTATAGACAGTCTGAGAATAGAGAAGTGATGTTTAGGACAGATACCATTGTCTTACCCAGAGAGCTGAAATGGTGTTACAGGTGAAGATTTCCACCTTAAAAATGTCTGGTAACTATTATGACTCTTATGAATTACTTTAGATCCTAAAGCAAAACTAATTATGTAATAGTCTCTGAGGCTTTGCTAGTACCCAAGATCCCAAGAAGAGAAAGGAGGATTAGGGATTGTAGTGTGGCCATCCACCTGGGGGGCGAGTTTTTGCTTTCTGTCTCTGGTGAGCACACATGCCCTATAGCAAAAATCTCTCAAAGAATTTTTATTGTACTGTATATTGCATATTTTGTATATACTGTGTAATGTGTATGAGTTCCAAGCAACTGGATTTGGGGCTCAAACTGCATTCGGCCACATGGAAGTTCAACAACGTAACTGCTATGCTATCTACTGGTCCCCTTTCATAGACTCTACCTTTCAAAAATATACAAGGCATGATCGAGATGCTGGCAGCTAAAAAGATAGAAAGTCAGGTGCATAATGCCATATTTTTTCCCCCTCATCAAATGTATGAAGTACTGCTTTACTCTGAGGCAGCTAGTACTGGAACATTTCTGTTACTTCCCTTTTACTTTCTTTTCTTCAACCTCTACTTCGTGCCCAAGTGATTGCATAATCCTGTTGTTGGCACTTGTAATGAAAGTACTTTTGTCCTACTGTGGATGGATAATTTATTTTTCTCTTGATACCTCTCCACCAATTTAAGAGAGGCAGCTGGAATGTTAGATTTCTACTATGTATATCTATAGAAAATAGAACATCACTTTTTTTTTTAAAGAATTTTACAGCTGTAGGTCAGCAGATGGCATAGCAGTTACATTGCTGGACTCCCACTTGACCGACTACAGTTTGAGTCCTGGACTGGTGGCTTGAAAATTACACTGGGCGAGTGTGTGCATGCCCAAGATCCCAGGAGTAGAATGGAGGAGAAGGGATTGTGGCATGCCCCTGCGGGGGTGATTTCTCATTTTTCCTCTCACTGTCTATCTCTTTCTCTCCAGTGAGTACATATACCCTAAGGCAACCATATTGCCCAATTAAGGTAGGTGATATAGCAAAGTCATAAAGAGGTAGTTATAGTATCTGTATAGTGCCATACTTTTTGCTGGGGGGTTTATGTTTATATGTTTTTCTCAATCTTTAAAGTGACACTGGGAGACAAGTAGTATTATTTCCACCATTTTATAGAAGAGGAAATTAAAGTCGGACCAGCAGATGGTGTAATGGTTACATTGCTGGACTCCCACATAGTCTACCACAGTTTGAGTCTCAGACCTGGCAACTTAATTCACACCGTGTGCGTGTGCGTGCATGCCCAAAATCCTGAGAGGAGAGTGAAAGAGAAGGAATTGTGGCACGGCCATCCCCCCTGAGGGGTGATTTCTCGCTTTTCTGTCTCTCTGTCTCTCTCTGTCTTCCCAGTAAGCACATGCTATGATACCAAACAAAAAAAAAAAAAAAAAAAAAAAAAAAAAAGGAAAAAGAGGAATAGACATAGAACAGAGGATCTGGGCTAGGCTCCAAAGTCTCTTCTGTTTTCTTTCCAGTGCCCACAGAACTTTAAAAGTGCAATTCAGTTTTTTGTTGGAGTCTCAGAGGTTATACAAAGTTACCTTTTCCTCTCTGTTAATACTCTGCTTGAGATTTTTTGCTTCAGCTTTGACTTAATATCTAAATTAGCATTTATATAAAAAAATTTGGACCATCACGGGTGTGTTATAAGGATATTTTTCTTGGGCCAGATAGTAGTGTTGTAGTTAAGGCAGTTGGATCCCATGTAACTTACTATGCGGATTCAGTTTCTATGAAAAACATGCCAGGTGCATGTGCATGCATGCCCAAAATCCAGAAAGAAAGAAGAAATGAAAGGGAAAGGGTTGCAGCATAACCATCCCCATGGGTGGCAGGGGGCAGAGAGTGCCTTTTCTTTCTACTGGAAGTTCTTGTGCCCTCTAGCAAAATTTACAAACCAAACCAAACAAAATATAGATGTAACAAACACTATGGGAAAGCTTGACCTAGATCCTCTTGAAGACCAGTCTAGTTCATAGATATTCTCTGTTAAAAGGTATACCTATGATAGTATCTTTGACTGTAATGATATGCAATGTATTAATGGTGGGAAAATTTATATAGTATACCGTAATGATACACAGTGATTAAATGTAAAAAATAAAACAATGTAGGACATATGAAAAAAAGGAAATGAAAAATTCATAGAAAACAGAAAAAGTATGGAGGGAATGTAAGGGATGTGGTGAAAGGGGAACACTCCTACACTATTAGTGGGAATGTAAATTGGTCCAGCCACTGTGGAGAATGATACGGAGGTTTCTCAAAGACCTTCAAATACAACTACTGTATGATCCAGCAATTCCACTCTTGGGTATCCACCCAAAGGACAGGAGAGCGCTGAGTTGGAAAAGCGCTTGCACAACTATTTTCATTGCAGCATTATTTACGATTGCTAAGACATGGAACCAACCCAAATGTCTACAAACAGGTGAATGGATTGAAAAATTGTGGCACATATGCTCCATGGAATACTATTCAGCCATAAAAAACAACAAGGCCCTGGAATTTGATAGAAAGTAGATGAATATGGAAGATTTGTGGCTGAGTGAAGCAAGTCAGGCTATGAAAGAGAGACATTGTATGTCTCAACTT